GAGACTTCTCCAAAATGAATGATGCTTTCGGGCATGAAAATCTCTTTATAATGATACAATAAATTTTCTCTTCATGGCTTCTATGCACTCCCGAGGAGGCTGCTGCTATTGTCTCAAAGTATGATTTATCCTTCGTCCATAATCTTCCTATGATGGATAAGATGAAAATGGTTCTTGAGCTTACTTACAGCATATTAAAAGCTGCTTCTATCTTTTATCTCATATCTTATGGACGGGGTAATGTATTGGCTTCGAGTAGTCATTTCAATGAGAGAAGGTAGAAGATATTGAGTTAAAGTGCACCATCCATCAGAAAGAACTTATTAGCGCGTGGGAGGAAGTTAAAGTTGAAAATTCTTTGCAAGAGGCAATGAAAACACACGACTTCATTTCTACTCTTGCGACTTGAGTGACCAAGCTGAAGGGTGCCCTCAAAGATGTAGTAAAGCGATATAAGATTTATTTTGATTATTTTTAGGAGAAGGCTTGTCAGGTGAAAGAACATCATAAAACCTATGTTCAAGGGACTAAGGCCTTGAAAGCTATCCTGGAAGACGTGGCCAATCTGAGGAAGACGCCCCATGACACTCTTAAACAGACAATGCAGGATGTGCTTAAAGTTCGCGTATGGGTTATGGAGCAGACAAGGAAGTTCTGTCATGGTGCAGTATTTTCCGTTGAAGTGATGAATCCTTTTAAGTCTGCTCCCAAGCTTTCTAGCAGAAAGACATAAAGAATCACACAACAAAGAATAAAAAGGTGCATATATAAATATATATTTACACACACACACACACACACATACACACACACACACACACACACACACACACACACATATATATATATATATATATATATATATATATATATATATATATATATATATATATATATATATATATATATATATATATATATGTAGCGATAAAAAATGCAGTGGGGTAAATCGGAGATCGAATTATTGATTAATTCGCCTCACAAAAGCAAGAGTCGCCACCGCGCTTTATTGTTTCCAAAGGAAAAGGGAAAAGAGCGAAATAAAACCCTAAATATGCAATGTAGATAATACTTTTTAAAAGTAATGAAAATACAAGGCGTTTTTGAAAAGAGATCTATGGTTCGGGGGTTGGTTATACAGTGGGAAGGTATTAGCACCCAATGTATCTATAGTACTCTATAGGAACCTTTTGAAATATCTGTTTATTAAAATTGTTCGCTTGATTGAAAAAATGAATCGTTTTGGCCGAAAAGGGATACGGACGGGTTTTTGAAGATTCGACGACCTAACGTCGAAGTTTTTGCTTAAAGGGTATAAATTTTGAAAATATTGAATACTTGAAGGAAAATTATCCTAAGTTTTAATGAAAATGCAAATATTCGCGCGATTAGACTTGAGGACATGAAGTCAACAAACTTATCGTTTTTCCTTTGGATTTAAACGTAAATGGAATAAACAAATAAATATGAAATAAATAAACAGAAAAATTATGCGGATAATGATTAAATAACAATAATTAAATGATATACTAAATGATGTGAATAATGCATTTATGATTTTTGTTTAATATTAATGTAAAGAAAGTATTTTTAATAGTTTTCAGGTTTACGCATTTTAAAAATGGATAAAAGTAAAATGAGAATTAATTAAAGGGAATAAAAATATTTTTTTTTAGTTTTTTAAGTCTCTATATTTTATATTTTTTGGAGTTTTGATATTAACTAAAACGAGTGAATTAATTAAAATAAAATATTTTATTACCATATGTTTCTAGATTTAATATGTTTTCTTTTTTAATATAAAGTATTATTAAAAGATGACTTAATGGCCTATACTAAATTGAGTATTTTTAACTAATTTTATAAAAGGCCTTAATTAATGTAACAAAATTGTTCATTAGTAATTAATACTATTAAGAATAAATATATTTAATTAACTATATAAAAGGTTGCTTATTATTACTAATTAGAAACAAAAGTGAATTAAGCTAATTTATAATAACAAAATGGGCCAAAAGGGGTTTTAGGAGGCCCAAGCTTAATAGTATCAGAAGCAGGATAGGGGGGGTGGACGAAGCAAACCGTTTGGGCTAAAGGCAACAAAAATGGGGTAAGGCCCATTTCATAAGTTGTTTCTTTTAGGGGTTAAACAATGTTAAGGGAAAGTAAATTAGGGTTAAGGTTTTGGCCGAAACGGCGCTCACTCACTCGTTCGTCTTCTTCTCCGATCGTCCTCTTCGTCCTCGCGCGTTATCCTCTTCAGTCGCTACTGAAATCTCCTCCTGTCTAATGGCCACCAGCTCCCACTGTCCTCTTCCCTCCAGCCAAACGTTAAAGGGGCAACGGATTCCACGGTACACATTTCGTTTTATCACTCGTTTTAGGGTTCATTGTAAATGCATGTTGTAAATTTCGATCCACTTTGATTCTGATTTCGTTTTATTGTTTGTGTGAGGTGTTATGAAAGTAAAAGGGAAAAGGAGATTGTTACCTAGAGGCGGAGATGGAGGAGGAACAGTTGGACGAGCTAGGAGGCCGAGGGCGGAGAGAACGGCGCGTGAGTTGGCTTGGCTTGGTATCCTGGTACTCTGTTTCTTCTCTTCTTGCCTGTTACCGTGTATGTTAATGTTGCCTTGAAAGTTTTTGTTGAGACGAAATTTGATTAGCTTGCCTTCTTCTTCTTTCTGACTTTGCTACTGCTACTGTACTTTGAACGCTTATGTTGCCTATGATGCTAGAGTTTTGACATGGTTTGGGGACATATTGTTTTGAGGGTTTATGCAGTATGCTGGGTCTCGAATGGTTTGATACAGTAGGAAAGGTTTTAGGCCATATGTTTTGGTATGTGGTTTTGGTTCTGGTAATGCAGTAGGTTTATTGGTATGTTTATGGGTTCAGACAAGTTAACGGTATGTTGGTGATGCAGTTGAATGGTTTAGGCCATATGTTTATGGTTTTTGATATATGGTTTTGATGATATGGTAGGCAGGTTTGATAATGCAGTAGCAGGTTAAAATGGCTTAGGAAAATGGTTTTTGATATATGGTGATATTGGTTTTGTGGCTCAATCATGTTGGTGAGGATTTGGAATGGTTTTTTTTCGGACCTACTGGTTTTGGTCCTATGCAGGTTTATGCAGTACAGGTTTAGGGGGCTTGAGAAAAAAATGGCCTTTTGCTTTTTTTTCAATTGGTTTTGCTCTACTGGTTTTTTATGCAGTAGGAAGGGTTTTTTTGTTTATAATGCAGGTGGTGAATAATCCTTTGAAGGGGTTTGCTAGCTTGTTATAACAACTTCTTTTTTTTCCAGGTTTACGTTACAGGCTTAGGCTATGTTTATGGGTTGGAGATTTGAATATTTGCACAATATTCTGCCTCCTGCATCAAATTGTTACAGCAATTTTGTTTGTATTCTACTCTTGTGCTTCTCCTTTTACTGTGATACTGCAGTAGCTTTGTCTTATAATTCCTTCTGCCTAAACCAAAACCTGCAAAACCAATTTCTTTCTCTCTCTCTCTATCTCTCTCTCTCTCAAGTACCAATTGATGCATTAAGATGATGTGCACTGTACTTGTTCTGAAACTGCATGGGCTGGAACATGATGAAAAAAGGAAATATATATTGCTTGCAAAAATTGTTTAAACTGCATATTTTTAACTTGTCCAGTGCATGGCACAGTGGGAGCCTCTTTGTATGTTTGGCCTCTTCCTATATGGGCATGTTTACGTTGCAATTTGGCTTTGAAAGTGCATGTGCTGTTTATTTTTTGTATGCTATTTGTCAAACATTTGAATTGATGCATATTGTTTTGAACTATGCAGTGGACTTTTGAAAATGCAATTGATTTGAAAAATGCAGTTCTTTAACAAAATGAATTTGTGCATTCATTAAAAAATTCCTCTCTTTTTTGTGAACCGGGAGAAATCCCGTGATTTGCAAAAAAGGGTAAACTGATTCCAGCCATTGCTTTTAATGATGAACATTAAATAATTTTTTTTGCTTTTAATTATTTGTTCAATTCTAATTTTCTTTTAATCGTTTTGCAGGTAAAATCAAGTGAGCAGACAAAAAGGCATTGGATAGAAGATTTAGAATTTAGGAAACATTAGATTAATTTTTATTTCATTTTAACTTTGTAAAATTATTATTGTAAATTCGTTGTAATAAATACAATATTTACACAATAATTGTACAATTAGAAGAAAAATGAATAAAATTCCAATATTTGCCAATTAATTTCCTCCTTCTCTCTAATTATTTATTTTATCATTTATAATTCTTTAACTTGTACAATAATTGAAAATGAATCTCAACTACCTAAATTCAGAATAATAAACGAATAAATAAATAATATCATTGATCAATTAATAGTTTCAATTATTTAATTCATTATTCATAATTTTCTAAATTATAATAATTAAAATAGAATTTCAATTATTTTAACTTAGAATGATAAATAATTAAATAATCATTATTGACCAATTAATGAACTTTTTCGAATATTTATTATATTATTCATAAATATTTAAATTATGTAATAACTGAGAATAAATTCCAGTTATTTAAATTTAAGATAGTGCATAATAAATAAATACTGTCTGCACAATTAATACGCCTCCTTTCTAATATTTATTTTATTATCTATACATCTTTAAATAATTAATAAACATTGTTTTAGCATGAATCGATTAAATAATTTAGTGTTCAAAATAAATAGCTCTCGGCCTGAAAAAAAGTTATGAATTTTAAAACCAATGGATCAAAACACTTGTAATGTAATGATGCAGATAGGAGATGATATCTTAGGTCAAAATTTGGGGTACAACAATATATATATATATATATATATATATATATATATATATATATATATATATATATATATATATATATATATATATATATATATATATATATATATATATATATATATATATATATATATATATATATATATATATATATATATATATATATATATATATATATATATATTCACATTAATAATGATTATCTACCTCAAGTAGATACGGGGTAACTTTCCTTCCTACTCCAGAATGGTTATCTACCTCAAGTAGATACGGGGTAACTTTCCTTCCTACTCCAGAATGGTTATCTACCTCAAGTAGATACGGGGTAACTTTCTTCGTACATGCTTGGAGGATCTCGTCTTTGTGATCCATTCTGAGGAGACCCTGATGTATCAAGTAGAAATCCTGGGATACACACAAGATACAACTCAATATTGGATTGGCGCCCAATATTAACTACGAACTTGTATTATTCGGGTGTCCTTAACTATGAATTTATGGTATCTTTCAAAGGCTACCCATGTAATCACCTTGGTAACAAAAAGAAATATGGGCACAACCAGGTCAGACGGTGGATTTTGAGACTTCGGCCTTGATTTCATGGAAATTATCTTCAAACCCCAGTGCAAACCTAGATTTGGATATGGAATTCTTCCTTCGCTCTCATGTGGAATTCTCGAGGAAATCAAATATTTGGACTTTGAAGAAGTGAAGTGAAAGCAGTGGCCAACTAATCGATATCTTCGCTCTCAAACATTTTACAACTTTGTGTTCTGAGGATGATGCATCCGGTAAGGATGGAGAATGAACACGAATTTGCAAAAAATGAAAGAATCATAATCGATTACCTCTTGATTTAGTAACTTGAGGAAGTTATGAGCTAGTAAATAAGAGATCTGAATCTGAACCACAAGAATCAAAATCTATAAAATTTTGAGTATGCTCCATGTTGTTTTGAGAAGTGAACACGATTTTCATGGAAATCGTAGGAATCATAGCTGATTCCCACAGACGACACCAATGTTCTTATAACACCTTGATTTTTAACAGCGAGAGTGTATTTTTTAATTTTTTAACTATAAACAATATAAAAAATTGATAATCATCTTTTTAAAAACACAATTAGAGTAAAAGTTTTCCTATTTAAAAATATTTTTCAAAATTACGATCAGAAACTTGCCATAAGTTGCAAAATATTTTTACCACTTGAACATACTTTCTTACAAAGTGTTTGACATTATATAACGAACGATACCACTTAAACAGATAAACATTTCTCTTGTAACAATATACTTCACAATAAAGTAAAAGAATACGTAGAATATAACCCTAAGCTGATATTTGAACTCTAAGTCAATGATGATTATGCACAAATGAATCAATGCAGTATCAAAACTCACTTATTCCGATCCCAATCAAATTCATAATTTTGCTAGGTCTTCAAAGACGCAGTGATACACAATCGTCACAAACTACTAACGATCTGGGGCATTCAGCCTAGTCTACAATAACTATAGAGGGTCACAATATAAAAATAACATACATAAAAGAACACACATATACAAGCACAACATGACACATAACAACCATAACATTTATTTCAACATATAAAGCAATGCACAAGTATCCTAATACATAATATACATGAGTGTGATCCCCCTAACCAGGTCCTCTCATGCACATGATTCTGAAATTAACCATTTCGTAGAGTGTCGTGGCATCACTTCATGATTTAGCACCACCAAGGTGATGAGTATCTACACCGTCAATCAGACTCAAGATCCATATCAAAATAAGGTGGTTCCTTTCTCGGACGCGCACCCCGTGTCGTTTCTCTAGTGTGCCCCTCGTGAAATACCCATATAATATTTATGCAAATGCAACATAATTGTTGTACCCCAAAATTTGCCCTCTCATTTTCTCAAGATTTCTCTCACATGTGTGGTTACAAACACCTATTAAAAGGAAAAGAAAAAATGAAAAAATTGAAGATGTTAATATGTCTTTCGACGGATCGAAGGAAAAGAAAAATGAAAAAATTTAAGATGTTAATATGCCTTTAGACAAGTCAAAAGTTTGCTTTGAATCCACATCCTTCGATTGGGCATCTAGGCTTCCTTCGAGCAGGCTTGAGACATCCTTCGATTGGGCATCTAGGCTTCCTTCGAGCAAGCTTGAGTCATTCTTCATTTGGGGCATTGGTTTACTTCGAAGAAACCTGCTTTGAATAAACCTTCATGCACGCTTCAAATTCACCTCTAAGCTTGCTTAGAACCCTCTTGTATGTAGGCTTCAATTGCACCATTGGCCCCTTACATGTTTGCCTTGAGTCACAAAGCAGTGACCTCCTGCATGCAGGCTTCGACAAGACATTGACTCTTCATGCAAACCTTCGTTTGAGAAATGTCCTCTTGTATACTTGCTTGGAATCACAAAATAGTGACCTCATACATGCAGGTTTCGACAGGACATTGGCTATGTTCACACTAGCTTCGACTGAACAATATTTCCCTTTGAAATAGTTTGCTTCAATTCCACACACATGGTTGGTGGCCCCTTCAAAGGACATGTATTGGTGGATTTGAAAGGCATACATAGGGGTCCCTTTCGAAGGATATAACTTACTAGCCCATTCGAAGAATTGCAAATGGCCCATTCGAAAGACATTTTTATTGGAAATAAATATTGCTGTCTGGAGAGGAGTCTGGTCAAAGGTGGACATATATGGTCAAAACGAAAGGTGGAGATATCAAAAGATGCTTGCTGCCAAGCTCAGGCCTGATACACTGGCCATAACGCTCCAAAGCTGCTGCACAACAGTCCTGCAACACTGGCATGCAAATGCTGCCCCTCGAAAGCTACAAAAACAGTTTGCCCATTTTGTTCAAATTCTTTTGTTTTCCCTCCTAAACCTCAACTAACTACACCTATAAATAAGATTCTCCAAAACACGTCTAAGGGGCTGGACAACACATCCAAAGACTTTTGGGTGGTGTGGAAAGAATCTTAAAAAAATCATCAAACTCTCAAAAAAACTTTTAAACTCTTAAGATACTCAAACACTAAACACAAACCCAGAATCTAAAGAAACACAAAACTTATTTCTTTTTCTATTTCGAATATGAAGCAATCCCCACACTTTGTTTTCTTTCGAATCCAGTAGAAAGAACACTACACATGTTCTTCTCCTTCGAATATAGAAATAACAAACACCACCCTCACACCTCCTGACCTTTGAATCTAGTCAAAGAAATACCACACCTGTTTCTTTCCTTCGAATCCAGGAGCATCTAGTCCAATCACTCAAGGTCAAACCCACGTTCCAGCTTCAAGCAAGGTAAGTCACTCTGACCTTAAACTTTTCGTTTGAAGCATGTACATAACATTTGTTTCCTTTTAGTTTCCACCTTTTCAGCTTGTTTTTCATTGCTAACCATTTGGTTTTGTTACTTGGTTTATCAAACGTTTTTTAAGAACTAACTTGGCCATGAAAAAATACTAACATGGCCTCAGGCCATGTTACTATTTAAATCCCAAACAAAAGAAAACAAGAGGAAGGAGGTGTGAATCGAAGCTTTACGCTTCACCCCTAGCTACTTCACAGTTGCAAGCAGAATAAATAGTGTGGCTTTAGGCTTCGCCACACACTGATTTCCAGGCCATTCGAAGGAGAAAAAAGGGAGAAAAGAAAGTTGTCCACACTGACTGCCAGGCCTCAATCGAAAGAAGCAGCTAGAAGGATTTCCATATTGACTCCCAGACCTCAATCAAAAGAAGGACAAAGGGCATGGTCGAAGCTTACTTGCTCACCCTAACATTCCTGCAATCGAAGGAAGCGGAAAGGCAGAATCGAAGGTTGCATCTCAAGCTTCATGCTAAGCCCAAATCGAAGGGAGCCAAAGAAGCAAAATTGAAGGGTTTTGCTGCCCAAATCGAAGCACTTATTTTCCTTCTTTTATTTTGTTTTGTCTTTACATTTTCTTGCAATTCTATATGGTTGTAATAGTGTAGGATCTTTATTTTCTGCATTTTTATTGCTTTTGTACAAATGTTAGTAATTAAGATGTATGGCAAGATAAAACCAACAAGTAGATAACCTAAAATTCAAAGACAAAATGCATACAATCAAACATACTTTGCACACATGCACCTCTAGGGTAATATCACATGTTGCCTCGGAAAATAGTCATATCCCTCGAATATGGGCGTTTTAGCAAAGACCCTCTATAAAAGATCGCAGTCCCTCAATGACCCTCAATGTTGCCTTCGGTAAACGATCTAGTCCCTAAACGACATTGCTAAAATGTCCCATAGATTGCCTTCTATGACTATACAAACGACCCACACCCGTCCCTTTATATCAATGATGGGGCTTCTTACCAAATCAATGGTAAGATAGCAACATCTAAAGGAGGAGGAAAAGAACGTTAGTCCTTTTGAGTAGGTAGGACACTCATAGTTGTTCGCTTTCTCACAACAAAACATCTTTTCACACCTATACTTTCAATTGAAACATTTTCAAAAGACAAATCTCTTTGTATGCATTCTTATAGAGACGAGAATCATTACAAAGACACTTTTCAAAATCATTTTCAAAAACACATTCCACAAACACCTCTTTGAACTATTTTCAAAACCAACACTTTGTACGCATTCTTATAGAAACGAGAATCATTACAAAGACGTTTTTCAAAATACTTTCAAACCCACATCACAAACACATTTTCAAACAAAAGCAAGTGATCTAGAAAGCAACTAAGAGCCCGTGGATAACTACGGATGAAAAGGGTGCTAATAACTTCCCTTTTCATAACCTACCCCCCGAACTCAAGAAATAATATTGAAAGGTCTTTCATGTTATTTTCAACCTTTTCTTTGTTGGATAAAAGAAAAGCCAGTGGCGACTCTTGCTATTTGTAATAATTGCGATCAAACACAAAACAACCAAGTCAGTTCTCCCACATATTACAGAACTGGCGACTCTACTGGGGACTAAACTTAAAAGTGGGGTTACCTTAGGGCTAGATCACCTTTACTTACTTTCCTTGTTTGACTTGCATGCTTTACATTATGGTTCCTTGTTTGGGTTTCTTTTGATCCTCTACCCAGATCTGAGGCACCTTTTAGGTAAGTAGCAATAGATTGTAGAAACTGTGTGGGGTATACCGACATGGTTGAAGCAATAGCTACGTTAGTGTGGCACATTTGTTGGTACCAGTAGCCCTTGAGTAGTCAAGGATAATACGTGGCCGCTGTGTGGTGTCATGAAGCACTAACTGACCTTAGAACCTTAATTGAACAACTTGGCCATTAGGAAGTAGCGAGATAGCCGGATTTGGCGCAGTCCAAAGTTGGTTGATACTCGATGCTACACTCATTGAGATCGGACTTTAGCGATATTTCGGTCGCCAATAAAGAGGCTTGCGCTGAAACAATGTGCGATGAAGAAAGATCAGTGATATTGAGATCCCCTAGAACCCGTTTACTTTCTAGGACATGTTTGAGCCAACTAAACTTCAAGAGGGTGCTTACCTACAAACTCCATGCAAGCCTAAATCTAAGGACTTATCTGCTTTGTGTGTATATGACTATTTGTACATAA